ATAGTGTGGCCTGCTATAAGGGCATACAAGCTTATTAAGATCAGCCGCTTGCCTAAGAACAAGCAGGCCACAGAGGGTTAAGTCTGTTCCTTACACGAAAGCAGGCTGGCAAGAAGCAGGTAAAAGGCAAGTTTGCCTTGGCAATCGTCTACTATGGATTAGACAAGCGGCTCTTTGCAATATGCCCATATTCTGGCCCGGCTAACAGTGACTAGGTGTTGTCCAAAACTGGGTCAGTTTGAAGGAGAAAAACACCTTTCATTCTCTATTCTAAAGGCAAGTTATAGGAGCAACTGCTGTAGATCTTCCTAATGGCACATCGCCTTCCCCTGTCTTTCTTGACTGGAATGAGGCTACAGCAAAGGGGACAGATGCTCACTAATGAGGCAAGAAACTCTGTGTACCCCTCCCTTGTTTGAGGGTAAATTCAGTAAATCACAAGAAAGTTCAGAGGTAGGGAATTTGCAACCCTGAAGTGGCCTCAATAACTAATGCGGATGAACGCAGGAGCCTGCCAGCCCTGGCGCAGGAGCAGCGCAACCAGGCGCGATGGGTTCCCTCTCACATGCTGCCACTGGGCTCCTTCTGTGATCCATTTGCTCTCCCATGTCCTGTTTCTAATTTACATTTTTCCTTCTTTCCTCAAACTTCCCCTGCTCCGTCCCCTCCCCAATACCACCTCTTCACTCTTACCTTAGGAAACAGAAGTCATTAGAAAACTTCCTCACACTTCCACCACAAACTACCAGCTTCTACCCCCAAATCTACCCTTGACCTGCACTCACCTTTTCCCTGGGACAGTGGATGAACTGTCTTCTCCCCCTGCCCCACCACTATCTTCCAACTGACTCCCGCCTGACTTCAGCCATCGGTAGCTTGGTTTTAGCATATTCACGTTTTCTTTTTTGGGTAATTTGTATTACCACACAGTTTCATCATAGCAAAAATTAAGGAGGAAAAAAAAAAAACCCCTTTAACCTCATATTCCCCTCCAGCTAACTCCCATTTCTCTGCTCTTTTTTATAACAGAATTTCTTCTAAGACACGTCCACTCATGATCTCCACTTCCTTTTCTCCCTAGGCCCCTTAAAACCATCAGGGATTTCGTCCCTACCAATCTCCACAGTAAGATGGAGCATACCTGCTTCTCCTTTGCTAACCTAATGACCAACTCTCAGTACTTGTCTTACTTGATTTCTCTGAAGCATTTCATGGTCAGTCACTTTCTCTCTCTTGAAATAAGTCTTTCACTTACTCTCTGGGACATCACTGTCTCGATTTCTCCTATTTCACTGGTCGCTCTTTGTCAATCTTTCTGGTAGGTTCCTTTTTGTCTTCACAATTTCTAAACTGTGGAGTTTCCTGTGGCTTGGTCCTTAGCCCTCTCTTTTCCATCTGTATTCATTCCTACCAACGTGATCTCATGAAGTTTTGTGGTTAAAAGATCACTTACATAGTGACAACCTCTAACTTTAGACTTCCCTCCCCAAAGTCTCATCCAAACTGCAGATTTTTAAATGCAATTCAGTGCACACCCAGTATCTTTACCTGGCTCAAACTTAACATGTCCCAGGCTGCACCGCTGAATGCCTCTGCACCTGCTCTACAGGCTTTCCCATTTCAGCCATGCCAACTTCACTGCCAGGTTCTCAGGCTAAATCTTAATACAATCCTTGGCTATTCTTTTCCTTTTACCAATATACCAGCTCTACTCTTGTTCTCACATAGTTTTGCTTGACACAGCAGACAATGTGATCATTTTCCAGTGAAAGTATGTTCATCTCTCTCTATGGCTTCCCATCTACTCAGAATAAAATCCAAATTCTTTACCATGGCCTCCAAGCTCCATGTGATTTGACCTACACTACGTCTTGACCTTATTGTCTACTATCCTGCCCTTGTTTGCTTCATTCAAGACAACTGGTTTCTCTGCTGTTTGTGGAATGTGCCAAAATACACACTTGTCTTGGGGCCTTTGTACTTCTTTTTCCCTGTGCCTGGAATACACTTTCCCCAGAAATTTGCATGGCTTGTTCACTTACTTCCTTCATATCTCTGCTCAAAAACTCCCTTAACTGAGAGGACTTTTTCAGTTACTTTACATAAAGCAGCACCACTAGTCACGCCCACTAGTCATTCTCTATCCCCTTTGCCCTTACAACCACCTCACAAATTGTATATTAAAAAAATAAAAAACAAACTGTCTTCCTCTAGAGACTGTAAGACCGACCAAAGCACTGCTACATTCCCAGTACTTATGACAGTACCTATCACACAGCACGTACTCAAGATATTTGTTGACTGAATGAAAGGCATGAAGAGGTGACAACCTCCTACAGACCGGGGGCGGCGGTTACCCTTCCCGAGCGCCAGTGAGATTCAGTCCCGGGATGGGGCCTGGTTGTGGCCCTGTTCACATGTATCGTTGGTTGCTGTTGTGACTTACAAAAGAAAATTTTGTCAATTTCTGTCATAGCAAAGTTGGATTATTTTTCCTATTTGGCTTCATGTGCTTTTTAAAAGTTTACAAAGACTTACAGTGAATTGCAGATTGACCCAGTAAAATAAAATTCCTTTCTGTAAGCAATGTACTTTCATATATTCTTCTTTGGACTGTTAAATAAAAATGGTGGTTGTAAGGCAGCTAAAGTGATTTATAAGCCACTACTGGGTTCTGAAAATTACTGCCTTGACCTAATAAAAAGAGGGACCTGGGGAGTTAGAAGATTATGAAGAAAGAAGACTTAGAATCCTTATGGTCCATTGATTTGGGGTATTACATTGTAGTAAAGGAGAGAAGGAGAAACACTACTTCTCAGTGGGATGTAGCAGCACAATACTTCTACTCTAACACCTAGAGGAGAAAAACAGTGAAATCACAAAAGTCCTATTTCTGAGACTATGGAAACAATTAGGACAAGGTGAACCACGCTTTCAGAAAGGGAAGAGCCCTTGCTGGATGAATGCTGATAATCACCAGCTGTCTTCCTCTGCAAGGACATTTGCTAATGGCATAGGCTGAGGACATGGCCTGGCCTGAAAAACTGCCTTTTCCTGGGCAAAGAGCACAGTAGTGCTTTGGTTATGTGAGGCTGGCAGGACAAATTAAAAGTAGAGGAGCCCGAAATGCAAAGCCATTTGCCTGATGGGACATCTGCCGAGTCCTAGATGGGCAGGAAGCTGGGACTAAAAAGGCAGAACAAAATCTCCCACAATGTCCTGGTGCGTAGGAGACAAATTCCCGCTAGACAGAAAACCCGCCAAAAACAAAAACCCAACTGGTCTCTCCACTCAATAAGGTGGGGAGGGTAAAGTACTACCCTCAAAACCTCAGAAAGGCAAAACTTTCAGACTTTTCAGGGTTGAGGAGCCAGAGATCCTTCCATGCCCTAACTCAAAAGCCCTGAAGGACCAGACTTAAGAACCATACATGAGCCAGAAGTGAACCGAGGTTTTCTAAAATTGTAACCCAGGCTCACATAGTTCAATCCTTGTTATAGATTGAACTGTGGCCCCTAAAATTCATGTGTTGACATCTGAACCCCTGGTACCTTAGCACATGATATTAGTTCAAGATAGGGTCTTTACAGAGGTAATCAAGGATAGGTCCTAATCCGTATGTTTTTATAAAAAGGGAAAATTTGCCCTGGTTAGTATGGCTCAGTAGATTGAGTACCAGCCTTCGAGTATCCACTGCAAGTCACCAGTTCGATTCCCAGTCAGGGCACATGCCTGGGTTGTGGGCCAGGTCCCCAGTTGGGGGTGTACAAGAGGCAACCACACATTGATGTTTCTTTCCCTCTCTCCCTCCTTTCCCTTCTCTCTGAAAATAAATAGTCTTTAAAAAAAAAAAAAAAAGAAGGGAAAACTTGGAGACAGATGTGCACACAGGAGAATGCCATATGAAGATGAAGGCAGAGACACCAGACTGTCAGCAAACCACCAGAAGCCACAGAGAGGCAGAGAAGAGTTCCTCCTCCCAGATCTCAGAAGGAACCAAACATGCCCATACCTTGATCTGAGTTTTCCACTCTTCAAAACTATTAGACAGTAAGTTTCAACTGTGTAAGCCGCTCAGTTTGAGGTACTTTACTATGGCAGCCCTAGGAAACTAACAGAATCCTTGACTTGATCAGACCCCTGGGCTAAACAGAAGGACCTGTTCGGACTTCCTATACACGGAGCAGAGTCTTGGCTGGGAGGTAGAATCGGTGGCTATTGACAGTGTAGGAACACTGGAATAGAGCACAAGAAATAGTTTCTTGTGGCCCACCCTGGTAATTAAACCAGAAGGTAAGAAGGTAATTTTCTCTCACACCAAACCCTATACCATGGCACCCATAAAGATGCAAAGGCCAAACTCCAAAGCACAACTAACTGTGTTAATGAATTATAAGCATTAATAATCACATTATTTCAGGTTTCAAGAAAATGGGCGGCTGAATTCTAAGAGCAATAACTAAAGGCATCATCAGAAACAGACATGCTTACCAATCCTCTTTGCAACCTCCCTGCCCAAACTGAGAGTTAGAACTCACAAAGGAAAAAAAAGAATGCTAAAAATACAATTAATTATAAATGATCTTGCAAGTTTCCTTGTCAGATCTTTACATTTATCTTTACTTTGAAGTTCTTTAAGCTTTGATTTGGGCTAATTAACACTAGGACATTAGCTTTAGGAGTATATAGTTTCAACTAAATGGCTCTGTTAAAATAAGTCTATAAAAGATATTAATATATTGGAATAAGACTCCAACTATGAGAGGCTAGGGGTAGAATATTCTTATTTTAAGAAAATATAACATGATATAAAATTAACAAGGTTTCAAAGTTATGAGGTAGACTGTGTCAACCAACGAGAACGTTCCTATACTTGTGGTTATGTAATTTTAATATGAAGAGATTCCCTTATTGGAAGTTTAATCTCTACTGACTTTGATATATAAGTGAGAATGTAAAAATCACACAGAATACTTTTTTTTTTTTTTTTTTTTTTTTACCTCTCCCAACGAGAAATAGTGACGTGGAATCTGAGAATCTGGATAAATATTCTCTAGGTACCAAGAGAAAGGTCTGCATTGGAGTTTTTGTCTTAGACCAACTCTTGATGCTATATCTCCATAGTCTACCTTCGTCACACCTGTTAAAAGAAATGAATGGGTGGAATTATTAATGTTCTATTGGGTAACACATTTCTATTTATGTATTAGATCTAAGCCAGAGGAATGGGAAAAGTGGTACCATTTTGGTAATGTGTGACTATACAAGTCATATACCATAAATCCACTTCCCAAACTATAAAACAAGAAAATAGTATGTTTTTCAAAGGAAAATTAAATTTATGTAAGAATGAAATACATGCTAATAATACAAATATAAATTATAAGGGAACAGATAACTTTAATATCTTAAGGCAAAAACAAAAATCAGGATTTATTTTGCCCAGTTATTAAACAAATTAAATAGAACTGTTTCTAGTCAGGTTTCTCTCACACGACTCATGGAATTGTGCACCCTGCCCCTTGACAGTCTTGTGGTAATTAAAAAATGAGGTTGGAATGATAAACACTGTTAAGGCAGATTAACAACTGATGGAACAGCTAATCCCACAAAACCCTGAAGAGCAAAGTTCCCAGACAGCAGTCTCTTGAGGCATACTACAGGGACTTGAACTGCCCTTGAGATACTCAGCACTTTCATAGTCAATGTTAAATGTTTCAGTTAGGTTAACACACACACACACACGCACACATGGATACCACCTGGACTAACAGTAATTTCTACAATACCAACCTGGATAATTTATTATTATTGTTAATAATGTATTATACCAGGCATTCTGCTATATGCTTTTTATACTGTGTGTTATTTATTTCTTACAGTGATTTATGATGTAGGTAAGTGTTTCACCTCTGCTCAAAGCTTCTTTCTTCCTCTTCTTATACCTTGTCAGAAGGCATTCAGATCAGGGACAAGAAAATTAGCCTTGTATTTCTAACGCAAAATAATGCTAACCTGGAGAAATTATATAGAAGAAATTCTTGAATTCATCCATCCATACTTCTGCAAGTCGTCTGTTATTTTTATTAATAATCTGTCCTGTCCCTCCTGGGAATGTGTAAGGTGTAGCTTTCCGAAACACATGGCCAACATGTGAGCAAGTAACAATCTCCAAAGTTCCTCCACACTGCCAAATCTGAGAACAGCAACAAAGAAGACTAGTTTTAAACACTGGACAAAAAGAAATTTGTTCACACCTATTAAGTTTCATAGTTGGAATTTCATGGAAGCAAGGGCACATAGTAGAGCTCCTGTTATAAGTTCATAAAACCAGTGCTGCTTCAGAGCAAAACTTTCTATAATTTTTGGTTCTGATTAAACCAGAGACTGAAGGTTAAATTCAAAAAACGCAGGTTAAAGGCTAAGTACAGAAAAGACATAAGATCTAGAAGCAGTATTTTCTGAACTGCAGACCATGACTCAGAAAAGGATAATAAATTCACATTTGATGAATTGCAACCAGTACTTGCTAACAAAGACAGACTGTTTAATGAAATGCTTATGTTTTGTGTGTTGTATGTATGTATAATGAATAATGTATTTATTAATATGGTTCATGGTCAAGAAAACTTTGACCATGGAGTGTTCAGCCAGAGTCCTATCTGTTCCTCCTTCTCCAAACCTGTGTCATAGCCTGTATGTTAAGTAGAAGTTAGGACTCCAAAGTGGATCTCTCATGAATTTTTCAGCGAGACAGCGATAGCACACTTTGTTGTCTTTGTAAACATAAAAACAAAATGGGGATAAGAGACAGATCAAATATGATTTCAAGTCCTTATTTAATGAAATTATGCTTCTGCTCCTTTCAAAATGCCTTTTTCCCTAAGTTAAAAATCTATCAACTGCTTACAATTGAAACGTATTTTGAAACGTTTTGATTTTGTTAAATATTCAGTATTTTCCCAGAATCATAAAATGATAAAGCTGGATAGGTTCTCCAAGATGGCCTAGAGTCCAAACCTCTCCTTTTTGTAATAAGAGGGCAAAGATGTCCACTAGGAATAAAGTGAGCTAGGTGGTTTACGTTACAGTGCAGGTCACTGTGGTTTCCACTAGAAGATATGTGTCTAAAATTATTTTCAGGAATATACAATGTCATTTAAATAATGTTGATTGTTTCTAGAGCTTGAATTGCTTCCTTGAAAGTAACAGAAATTAAAAACAAATAGGGAATCTTCCATAAGTTTTATAGGTACACTATTAAGATAACTAAATTTATTTCCTTAAAACAGTTTATAATGAACCCTTAATAGAATCGCCAACTTTTTATGGTTCTGAATTCTGGTTAAACTCATACTAAATTTATTTTTTTAAAATCTAGAGAATAACATGAATAATTAAAGCATATTCATATTTGAGGTTAAATAGAAGATTGCTTTTTTCCAAAGGGAACTTACCCTAAAGGAAATTTCTAGGTTTTCTCCTCCCCAAATATCCATTCCAGCATCATATGTTCCAATTTCCTGAAAGTAATCTCGGTCTATTGAAAAAAGGCCTCCTGCCATGGTAGGTGTTCTGAAATTCAATCATAATACTGTACCATTAATTGTTAATAATTTAAAATTTACAGTAAGTTTTTGTTTTTAAAAGTGATTTTATAACTGTTAACTTCAGAATAAATGCTTATTCTCACACTCTTCAGAAAGTGTCACAGCCCTTAGGGATTTTCTTTGTCATTATGTCAGTTGGTTTTCAGACATGACCTGCACCCTGGCCATGCTGTCACAGCTTCCGCCTGGACAGCCTTCTCTCCAGTCCCAGGAACGCTTCCTGTCTTTAGTCGCTTTCTTGGTCCTCAGGTCCTGACTGTGCATCTGTCCTCAAACTCCTCACCATCTGAGAGGGTACCGACTCCTTAGTTCTAACAACTATAAAAGCAGCTGACTCTGTTAACCACTTAGACTCATGTTAGCAACCCTAACAGACCAAGTTCTAATGGGTAACAAATATTGCAAAGACATAAGATTAATAAATAGGATGAAAACAATGTGGCCCTTTCCCTATACGTAATAGGAACCTTTAAGGAAAAAAAGAAGGAAATGGAGTACAGAATAAAATCTGTACCTCCTTCTAAGGCAGTGACTTTTAACCACAAGAGGTATGCTGCTGTGCCACAAGAATTTTTAAAACATGCAATAGCTGACTATTTAGTCAGTGGCACTGACCTCTTTTCCCTTAGACTGTAAAATTAAAAAAAATAAAACAATAGCCATCTGGTATGAATGAATCAAAACTATGCCTATTTTTTTTTTTTGTCAGATCAGCAAAAAAATATTTCTGGTGTGCTACAAGGATTTTACTAATTAGCTTATGTGTGCCATGAGACGAAAAAGGCTGAAAATCACTGTTCTAAGGGGATCATCGTCCTGACCAAGTATGGTATATCCCAGTATGGTGTGAAAAGAGGGGCCCAATTCATCAAAACATGGTACGCGTATGCAGAGCTGGTGGGAATCAGTTGAATTAAGCAGAGAAATGATAATGAAGGAGGGTTAACTAAATGAATACTAAACATTTGATCTCCTTGAAGAATGAGTGTGAAGAAAAACAGACTCCAACTGGGAGAAAAAAATTAAGTTCCAGGAAAGAAGACACAATGGAGGCTACATTTTAAGACAAGTGGGCCTCCTCTGTAGCTCTAAAATGTTCTCATCCCATGCCCTAGTGACAGTGGCGCATTTGCTTTTCCAGTAGAAATAACTGTTTCCACAAAGAAGTTGGGCCTATTTTGATTTTAGAAGAGAAAAACAAAGAGAAAGTCTAATAATGCTGGAGTCAAGAGAAATGGGCTGCTGCCCGGAGTTATCATTTAGTACAGGGGTTTCTTGACCTGGGTTTTGAGGTATGTCTTTAGTTTCCTAGAATTATACATATGTGGTATCTTCTGTTTGCACATCTGCACCGCCCTTCTTAGAAAAGACATGGCTTTTACCAGATTTTTCAAATAAGTCCATCATTTACAAAATGTTTAGGAACCCTTGGCTTCGGTGGTTATTTGACCTCTCTGCAAAAGAGTGGAAAAATCCTTTTACTAGTTAAGAACTCAAGCTGTCTAGTAAGGAAAAGATTAAAATTATTGAAACCTCTCTTGTACTTCGCCAGAACTGGACTTGAATGCAAAGGAAGGCAGATCTGAGAAGCCCAGGATAGGAGAAAGCTGAAAAGCCTGGTTCTGAAGGACCTCTCAGTCACTACAGAAACAGCAGGTTCATGAAGCTGGAATAAATACTAGGGTGGCTCAGAAAGCGCATGGTCTCAATGTAAAGATTTTGAATAGCATGAAGAATTTTATTCCTTTCTGGAAAAAAAAAAAACCTCTGTGACCAAATGTAGAACAAAAACAATTCAGAAGTGCATTAATGAAAAATTTTTGACACACTTGTTGATTCTAGTTATTTGTAGATTCCAACAAGCTCTTTTAACCTTACTAGTCAGTGTGGATATACAGTCTTATATTATGATTCAAGGACCCAATTTTAAGTAATATTTTAACATATTAACACTTATAATTAAGGGGTAGTTTGACTCAAGTTTATATTATCCTTAACAACTGAATTAAAGCACAAATCATACTGAGAGGTTTGCAAAATGTTATTCATATAGCAATGAAAGAACACATGTACATCACCATTTCTCACATGCACTAGACTTACATAAACAAAGAATTATAATTTTATTAATCAGAGAGAAAAAAAATCTGTCTTTAAAGTAGTGATATATGTGAAAGATGGCTCTTAACTACATATATGCCCACATGCTTCACGTCTCTCAAAATACACTTATAATCCTTACAATTCCCAAAGTTTCACAATCCCCTGCCAATAACACTTTAGAGAAAATGTTTTACAAACCAATTACCTGACAGGAAGAGTCCGATCACCTTTCCTTCTGTCCATTTCTCTTTGGGGAACAGGATACCAGCGAAAATTGAGCTTCCAGTTGAATCCACCGTAGGTCATATCAGAACCTGCCATGTACTCAAAAGTATCATCACTGATCACATCAATGATAGGACATACCACTGTTTTCCTAAAATCATAAGAGCAAATTTAAAAATCTTTTAAAACTTTCCTTTTTGAGGCCTACTATAACAACTGTAATACTAAGTGTTTTAAAAATAAAAACACATTCTACAATGACAGTTAATGACAATGGTGAAGAAATTTCCTGTGATAGCCTACCAATTTAACGTAAGTATTTATCATATTTATTTATAACTTGTTGATAAACTTCCATCCCTTTTTCATTCATACTTTATGTATCTGCCATAAAACCACCACCCTATCTGGTTATTTTCACTGTAAGCATTAGCCAAAAACATTTTTGCCTTGGGCATTCTTGATGCATAACTAATTGGCTATAAAAAAGAAATCACAAAAAGGATCTTAAAACATAAGACATAATTAAACATGAAAATGTAAATAAGAAATTTTTTAAAACTTTATCTAAAATGTGTGTAGCTTCATGGCAATGTGGTGCAAATAACTGATTTTATATTGTGGATCTGACCTGTCGGGAATGTGGGTTCAACTTTGCAACCGCAAAAGAGGGCTCTCAGCCTCTTTTTTCCTCCCAATGCAGTATGTTTCCAAAAAAAAAAAAAAAAAAAAGAAACCAACTCTTGGGGCAAATCAGTCATCTGGAAGAGATGCTGACTAGTTTAAGACCACTGCCTTGTCTGCTCATCGCTGTACAGACCATTTGAGAGCCAGCTGAAATTTATATGTAATATAAAAATGGGAGTAAACTGCAAGAAATCTGTCAATGGAGAAATGAAACAAAACTGACAAGCAACCAATGAACCAAACCAACCAACCAACACTGTTAACCAGCTATTTTATCTTTTTTACTATAGTTGATTGTTGATTCATCAATGGAGAAATGAAATCAAACATAAAAAAACCCAAACTGTCAACCAGTTACTTAATCTTTTTTATGGCAAACTGCCAATTAGCCAATTAGTTATGCAACAAAATGCTTGTGGCATTTATGCTATGGCCAAAGCACCTAGAACCATTTGGCACATGTAAAAATACTTCAAATATTTCTCCAGTTTTGAAAAATAACACTTGTACTGACTACATATTAAATCATTTTTAACCTAGTAATTTTCTTAATAAATCTTAAACATCTGTGTTCCTTATAGTTTTTTACACATTTTAGAGTGTATAATATCCTCCTTATCCAATTGGTGTCTTATTTAACAAATCTTTCTTTCAAATCATGAAGATACCGTACTATATTGTCTTCAGAAATAATTATATTTTTGCTTTTCATATGTCTTTAATCCTCACGGAAATGATTTTGGGTATGATATGCAATAAGCATCCAACTTCATTTATTTTCCTTATGGATAACCAATTGTTTCAGCAGTATCTATGTACAGTCCTTTTTTCCTTCTGTTGTAATTATCAGTGCCTGCTCTGTCATAAGTTGACCTTCCATATAAATAATGCAGTGGTTTCTAAACACTTCTCGGTTCACTAATCTATTCGTGAATTCCTTTACATCACTGCCACAATTAATACAGTTTGAAACTTAGTCTTGTATCTTCTAGGACAAGCCCCATTGTACCTTATTCCTCTTCTTCAGGCTTAGCAAATAATGTTAGAATTAGCCAGTTTCTCCGAGAAAATTCTGTTGAGATTTCAGTTGGAAATGCCTTGAATTTATAGATCAATGTGGGGAGAACTGATATTTTTATATTGACTTTTCCTTCCATGAACATCATCCTTCTCTCTATCCACTTAGATTATTTTTCAGTGAATTTCAAAAGCTTTCTATTTCAGGCATCTTTTGCAAAACATATTCCTAAATTATAGTCTATTATTTCCATTGCTATTATTATAAATGGTATCATTTAAAAAAAAAATTATTTCATTTTTAGAGAGAGGGAAAGGGAGGGAGAGAGGGAGAGACCATCGATGTGACAGAAACATTGATTGGTGGCCTCTCATATGTGCCCCAGCCAGCCACTGAACCCGGCTCCCAAGCAGGTGCCCTGAGCAGGAATTGAACTGGCAACCTTTCACTTTGTGGGATGATGCCCAACCCAGCCACACTGGTCAGAGGTCTGTCTTTGTTTTGTATTATATTTTCTAACCATTTCTTGCTGGCATGGAGAAGGCAACTGCCTTTTCTATTATGATCTTGTTTGGCAACATTGCTAAATTACTATTTCATATATACTTTTTCTTCATAGAAAAAACAGATTGTCTGCAATTGACAGTACCTGTTTTCTTCCTTTTCCGATCCTTATATTCTTTTATTTATTTCTTGTATCCTAAGGCTTCTAATAATCCCGAGTTACAACCGTAATTCAAAGTACCCTTATCTTGCTCCACACTTAAAAAAAAAAACTTTCACCCTGAACAGTGTGTCTCAGTTGGCTGGGCATCATCCTGCACAGTGAAAGGTTGCTGGTTTGATTCCCAGTCAGAACGCACCCAGGTTGGGGTGCATATGAGAAGTAACCGACAGAGGTTTCTCTCTGTCCCTCTCTTCCTCCCTTACCCCTCTCTAAAAATAAATAACATCTTAAAATACCTTCAACATTTCTCCATTAATATGTTTGCTTGCTAAGGTTTTGTTTTAGTTTTTTTTAAAGCTGTCTTTTCTCGGATTAGTAAATTTCCATTTTGTAACAGTTCACTAAGTATTTTAAATTATGAACAGGCCCTTTTCTGTATCTACTGAAGTGATTACAGAGTTTTAATGACAGATAATCATAGGTTCAGAAATATGTTAATGAAGTGTATTATGTGAATTGGTTTTACATTAAACTAAACCAGCTGGTCATGATATATATATTTGTATATATACACAATATTATATATTAATATATGTGCCTATATATTATATATATAATTACACCCCTCAGTTGGACTCAGTTTGCTGGTATTGTGATATTTTTTTATTAGCATTCATGAGTGGGTTTGAGTAATTTTCCATGTATGTCTTTTCTAGCTTTCCTGTCAAGGATATACTAGTCTCATAAAAAAAGGTGAGTTCTCTATTTTTCTATATTCTGTTTATAAATTTTTAGGAGAGATTTGTTTCCCCATCTGCCATCTCATACCAAGGTTGAAACAGGCAAGTTTCCTTTGGCGTGGTGAGATTTGTCCATCCCACTCACACTGAGACCTAGGTATCAGGGTCCTAGCTTTATGCAGGTGTCCGCTAATCATCTTCCCGCCTTAGGCAGGGCTTAGGCCTTGTCCCTATCCTCTCATCTATTTGTCTTTCAAGGGAAAAGCTCAGTGTCTCCCAAGTTCAGCAAAAACCGAAAGCTGGCTTTGGTTTTTGAACTGATCACTTGTTCTCAGTTCATTTCCTGATCTGCAAAATTTCTTTCTTTGGTGCCAAGAGAGTGGTGCACTTAAAACCATTTTTTGTATTTTAGCCAGCAAGGTTTCCAGCTGGGAAAGTTATTCAGGGTCCCTAATCTACCATACAGCCCAGCCTGGAATTTGTTGTGATTGTAATTTCAGCCAATTCCCTTTTTGTATTTCTGTTGTCACCTTACATTGCTTCTCTCCACAGGTTCAGGCTTCTGTTCCATAAAGGTTATGTGGTGTTTTTATACAAGCAAATACTTATTTCCTAAATCAGTCATCAATTACTTATAGAAAACAATTCACAGAGATATTCTGTTCCTTCTTCAGGCAACATTCTTCTTCCTAAGGCTACTGTATCTTCTCATAGCCCCAATGCTGATTTTTCCTATTATTCATCTTTGAATGGGGAGAGATTTAAGTCCAGGAATTGCTAACAAACAGAACAGATGTAGTGGCTTTGATTTGACTATGCTCCACTTGACTAGTAAAAGCTCAGCCTGCTAAAATCTAAACCTCAATGTTAAGTTGACACAGAGAGCCTCTAGCTCTAAGTGCAAATACAAGAAGAAATTCAACTAATAGAGATCTGTCTAGCAGACTGAAGTTAGGTGCTCTCCTGATAAACAGGAACTAAGCCAGAGCCCAGCAGTAGGTTTTTTTTTTTTAAGAATGTGCATTATGAAAGACTACAGCCATGTGCACCCACAGCTCCTGATGCTCTTCCTGTATTATCTAAGATCATAGTGCTTTTCAGTATGCAATTAAGCATTTCAGGATGCAGTATGTATCTCCCACCCCGTTTTACTTCTTGCTGTACTACCGTTCCAGCAAGGACATAGAGATGGGATGATTGGCCAGCCGCAGTGTTAGCTTTACAGAGTAGGGACAGGTAAGAGCTTTACCACACCTTCCCTGAGTTCCTTGTCCATCTGTTCTGCTCCCTTTTAGTGAACGAAGTATATACATAGTATACATCTTAACAACTTGTTTCCTAATCCATTCCCCTTAACAAGACAGTTTGCTAACATTCCTTCCAGACTTGAGAATATGGTCTTCTTCATAATTAGTTTAGAGTACTCTTCATAGGTATTTTAAAAGAAACTTCAGAGGAAATTATTTTCGTATTTATTCACAAATACAGAGTTTTGTAACTTACCATATGGTTTAGGAAACAAATTTACAGACTCCAGAAAATTACCTGTCTTGTTTGATCCTGGCTAAGAGAGGCTCCAGCCATCCCACTGTGCACTCGCAGTGGGCATCTAAGAAAGTGATCACTTGGCCTTTAGACACAGAAGCTCCTTTTAATCTAGCTCTGATCAGTCCAGAACGTTGTTCCATTCGAATTACATGAACTGGTACTTTTAATTTTTTCACATAACTCTCTAGAGGTCTTTTTAAAAAGTCTGAAAAATTAACAAAACAAAAATAACATGAAAAAACAGTGACCTGACGTTATCCAGGTGCAAAGCAATGTTCATTCAACACGTATTTACTGAGCACTTTCAGCGAGGCTCTCTGACTCACAAACCCATTTTGCTGTAGGGAGCCTTTTTATTGCCTGGGAGAAAGCACCACAGCTGCCCCTACCTTATAATACCAAGAATTAGGAGAGAGCCTTTGGGTTCAGGTTCAACTGGAGATAGGCACGATATCACATTTCTCTAAGCAATTTTTTGTCAGGCTCAATTTTGCTTTTTCTAATCATGCATACAGATCAGGAACTGAAAGAACATAGTTCAAGGGCATTAAATCCAGACCACAATAGAGAAAAGGAACAGAATATGCAATAGCTGTTAGAGTTCAGAAAATTGTAGTAGTTCTTCAAAGGTAGAAACTAATTGTCTTATTGATTACTATAGTCTTTGACTATGCAGTTCTTTTATCAGGAGGTAGAAGTGAGATCAGGCTCAGAAAAGAAAGAGTGGGTTTTAATTGCAAGACCAAATAGAGATCCTAAACAGACAAATAGATCTAAGTAAAAACAGTTTGAAGAGGAAAGGACAATTAAAGAGAAAAAGGGGGAAAGGGAGAGGAAGTGGGTATGTAAAATGAATAGCTCTCCTGGAGCTGTGCAGATAGAGGTTATGACCCTAAACTAAGGATGTCCTGCTGCCAAAGTACATAATTGACTTTAAAAAGCAAAAAAGGCTGAGCTTCGTCAAAGCAAAGAGAAATAATTTTTCAGATCAGGTTATTTCATGGCATTTATGCCAGAAGCTATTGATGGTCGTATGGCCAAATGTCTTTCCAACTAGTCCTCATACAACAGGTATGAGGATAATCTCTCTAGGGAAGACTTGAGATGGAACTAGTGGGACTCCTGTAAGACTCTAATAATGGGAAAGTCAAGTGTAAATCAAGGTATATGCATTAAGGTGCCCTTTAAGTATTAAAAGTGGGGATCGAAAAAACTTCCTATATACTGGAGAGGGAAGGACAAACAGGAGTGAAATCGTTCTTGTCTGCTTAACTGATAAGGCCAGAATAATATGAAAACTGTGAAGGAGAAAGGCCTGTGTGTTCCACTATACCAGGATATCTATCATTTCCATTGCTGCTAATATATTTCCTAATATATTTGGGCTTAAAAAGTATTTGAAAAACATCTGGAATAGAACTCCTACCTGGAATACTTCACCATGATTTTATGAACCGAATATGAGGGTCAGAAAGATAACTTGAGTCTAAAAAGATAAGGGTAGTGCCAATCCCAGGGAAAAGCATTTTGCAACACCAGCTATCACTTTGTGTCTGTTTAGCACAGTGCCTGTTTAGCACAGTGGTAGGCTCTTTACATATTTAAACTCATTTAATACACACAATGACGTTATGATATTGCCACATATTTTAGACAGAAAAATCTAAGGTTCATAACAGTAAATAAACTGATCAAGGTGGCATAGTTTGTTAAGGGGTTAATCCAAGCTTCAAAGCCTTGTCTGCCTGATTTCAAGACCCATCTTTTCATCCATAGCATCACCTGATCTGACACACATTTAAATTACATTAAGTTCAGAGTTCGATAGAACCTTATGTGAGGGTGTGAGGTATATTCTAGTACTTTATGCCAGTCAAGGCTGGATGTGTCAACAGTGTGTCTTCCAATAAGTTTTCTCCAAAATATTAAAGTGCTTCTTGAGAATCAAAGCAATTTAATTCCCGAATCTCACATCTTTGAAAGCTATAATACTCTGTCCTGTCTGCAAATAAAATAAAAAATGCACGACTCTTTGGTAGTTCAAAAAAGTTACTATTCCACAAATTTTCTTAACATGTTAGTTTGACATGTTTGTGGCTTTCATGCAATACAGCTAAAAAGTAGGTGTCTTCCTAACAGTTGATATAGAATTAAGGACTCAGGGCTGGGTGGGGGATTAGAAATTATTCAGGCTGCATTTTACAAAAAATGAGCACAGGGCAGGGCGGGGGCAGGAGTTAAGTGATTAGAAGCTACTATGTCATTTCAAAATAAGAGAATTTTATTTATTAAAATATTTCTAAAGCTATTAGCCTGTAAATGGATACCTGAGCTTCTCTCCATCAGGGAGTGTGAGGTTGTCAGAGAATGAGAGTATGTCAGAAAAAAATTTCACTGCTCATAGCAACATCTGAGAAACCTCAGCCAGAACTCCAGAGAAAGAGCAAGGAATTTAGGGTTTAATAAAATCTGACTCCTAATCCTTAGTAAGTAAGACCCTCTGTTTCCTTTTGTGTAAAGTGAGAAAAACAACAGTCGTCTCAGATGAGGAACATTCCGTCAGTTTTAAGTTTTAAGATAACCAGAGGTGACAATTATATAGCTTCTGACATGAACTAGGGATTCATCCAGACTGTTACATTAGAGACCCTGTAATAGTCAAGTTACCACAGACAGTAATGTGCAGAGCAGCTAAGAGGTCAAGCTCTTGGTTTATACTAAGCCTCATTCTCCTCATCAATAAAATGGGAATATTATAGCACCTACTTCACACTTCTTTAATAAATGGAACTAGACAACTCAGCAGGTTTACTGTGAGATCAAGTATCCTGAGGCCATGAGCAGACTGAGCATGTTACCCAGCCTAATTAGGAAGCTTGTGTAGACAAGAAATAAAAGCAAGGGTTAACTGACTGGTAGATTATTTATTTATTCATTCATTCATTCATTCAATAATTCTGTTTACTAAGTAACAGGCTCTGTGGGCACTAAGGAGATAAAGTGAACAAACAGACCTGACTGGAGTACGGAGCCTGGGGGACAGCTGGGGGTGGGTGGGCAGGAGACAGTCCTAAACAGACAAGTAAACAATTAAATCTCTGTTAAGAGCTGTCAAGGATAGAGTGTTCTGAGATGGGTTCAGAGGGATATAACCTGACCTTGGGAGGTCAAGGAACGCCTCTCTAAATATAACATGATTCTGAATAAACATCTGAGCTGAGTGGAGTGGGCAGGGAATGGCTGAAGATGTGAGTGAAGATGCAGGAAGAAGCCAGGTTATGTAGGCCTTTCCGCTACAGCTTAGAGGAAAGATTTTAATCAGAAAAGTGGTATGATCAGAGTTGCATGTTTAAAGGCTCATGAGATGGGGCAAGAGTGTATGTGAGAAGACTAATTAGTCTATTTCACCAGTTCAAGGTTAGAAATGATGGTGTCTTGGATGTGTCTCATAAAGAGGAAAAGCAGACAGAGTTACTTAAAAATAAAGAGCTTGCTCTGGTTCCTATTCCTGGGCCCAAAAAGTTACCACCTAAACAAGAGAACCAAAGAGAATTCTATTAAATAATTCTCAGTCTGGATAGCAAGACTACAATTACAATCACAAAAACACAATGCCTATGGGTGTCCAAACACCAGAAATGGTGACTGAAGCCCCTGAAGTTTTCCAGGCAGAAGAGGGAGGAGCAGCAGGCCCTGGACTGGGGGCCCTGGAGGGACACCCACGGGCCTGCTTAGTGCCCAAAGGCCTCAGGGGAGCCGTGAAGTAGACGCCTGCCTGAATGTTTTCTCTCACAGATAAGGAAGAGAAAAAATAACTGGTAAGTGTGACTTTGTCACTTTAGAGTTGTGGGGACATATCTTTTTAATGAGGCCACATCGTATAAAAACTTAGTATTCCACACAGCCTTCTCCGGCATCCAACAGAGTAACAGTGAAACCAAAGGAGGAAATGGAAAAATAATTCATTTTATCTGAAGAAAAATCTCTCTCCTTGAGGAATATTTAATTTAGTAAATAACAACAACGTGTAAGTAAGCCAAACACAAGTCATTTGCAGTATGGATGTTTGTATAGATTGCTGCTTAAGAGAACTTCAGTTAATTTTCTTAAAGCATTAATCAACTCCAAGCAAAAAATTATTTATATGCAGTTTATATTTCTATTGTCAACAGTTAATTATTTAAGTGTATTCTTAATTTATAACAGCTCTCTGATTTTGACATTAATCACATAACATTATTTAAATGTTTTGCATGTAAATTAGGGAGATAAACTATAAGGCGCCTGAGAAAGTAGGACTACAACTTATTCTTCATTTATACCTCTGTAATCTGGCAAAGTAATAAGATTTAAATTGTTATTAATGTGCAAATTGTTCCCAATGTTATGATTAAATTTAATCATGGTTAAATGTACATATTTAGTGTAGGCACAAGAAGAAGGTATAGTACTTGACCAGACTATCTTAGCAGATACAATTAAGAGATTAGGCAAGAGACTTGAAGATAGTAGCAAAAGAAGTTAGACGTTTAAGGCTGATCAAGAAAGGGGGAGAGCCATTTTCTGTAGTTCCTTCTAAATTTTTCTCATGTGAGCTTAGGAATGTTGGGGAAACACATGACACCAATGATCCTAAATAGATTTGCCTTGGGAGGGAAAAAAAGCCCGGGCAATGCTGGGTAACTCAAAATTTAACAGGTTTATTTACTGACGGACTAAGCAGAGCCTTTTCTACATTACCTTGTAGAGTGAAATCTCCAAGAAGAATTCAGAATAAAGTTGGGCCAAGGTACTTTTAATTAAAATATTTTTCCAAAAGGAGTACTTCATATAACAGTTTGAGATATTTTTAAGCTCATGAAAAACTCAGATTCTTGGAAGGATATTTATTTGGGCAAGAGTCACTATAGAGTTTTATTATAAGATCAGAGTCCTATTATATACCATTTTTTCTTAAGTCCCTTCCTCATCCTATTATGCACCTAGCTATAGATCATTCCTGAACTTAGAATAAAATGGAAAACCTAGGAAGAATCTGGAGAACTAAGGCTCACCAGTTAAGGCTTCATTCTGCTGCCACAGATACTTCCCACTGTACATGCAACTAAATTTTTCCATTTATGGCTCTAAATGAGATCTAGTCTCTCTCTAATAACTCAGGGCTGCAACTTCCCATAAAGAAAATCCTAATAAAATTATGTGGATTTATTCACTATTCTGCATAAATGTTTATATAGCATTATTTCTTTTTAAAAACAAGATTAAGAGACACAAATTAAATGCTAATTAAAGTAATATTTTAAGTTTCACAGTGTGTAACTTTTGCATATGTGAATGAGTCCAAATGCCACAGATATTTTTAGTATAAGTTAGAAGTTTGTATTAAGTTATTGGGTTAAAAATGATAGCAACTACTTTTTTTAAATCATTGACAAAAGGTGTAACATATTATTGTTGTTACAATTTAAGATTTACCTCTTTCACTGGCATCATCTACTAGAACAATTTCTTCTAGCATGTGTCTTGGTGAACGATTAATGACACTATGGACAGTTCGCAGAAGTGTGCTCCAAGCCTCATTGTGGAAAACAATCACCACACTTGTTGTAGGAAGGTTATCTGGATACACCTTTGTTTTACACCTAGAGACAAAGCAAATGCCTTTATAAAAAGTGACTGTTAAGATAGCACAATGAATGAATCCAGACTAGAAGGGATAATAAAACAATAAAAACAGTTTGCTCTAGTAGTGGACTCTTGGTGACTTTTCATTTATTTTTTTTAATGTTGCATGTTTAATAAATAGTATCTATTTAAAGTATGTTTAAATTAAAATTACTTTAAAGAGGTCAATTCTTTAAAATTAGGTTCTTTTCCCTGATGTATGCTTTCTGTTGATTCAATTTAATGGAGAATGTACTAAGACTATATCATCAATCTCAAACTGGCTGGACAAAATTTATCTCAAGAATCCAGCTGGTCAAAAAAATTCAGAACCACTAGAATCAACACAATTTAGTAATCTCAACAAAAACATACCTTCCACAAAGGAAGAGAAGTACTAGGCACTTAGGCTTCCTAATCATTCTCAGAGGTACTTGGAGCCACATTTCATAGACGGGAGCTGAGGACAGAAAGAGCAAAGGAGTGGCCAGGCCTGACTGAGGACTCCACCATCCCCGCTCTGCTGACCAAGCTCTTATTGCTGCTCCTCTCTACTGAAATATCAATGTGCATCTTGTTTAGTGAAGACAATGTCTAGAAATGCAATCATCAGAAAGACCAAACACACTAAAAAATACATGCACACAGAAGCAATGTATTAACTGTATGTTTCTAGCACTTAGTTTTAGGCAACATGGTCTCCTCTTCCAATCTTGTTAGCTAGATGAAACTACTACATAAAAGGCTAGCAGAAAACAATAAGAGTAGTTAAGTAACCAGATTTCAAGGGATGTGCTTTAGACCATAAACACTCCTAAAAAGGATATATAACTCTTTCTCAGGTATCCCCAAATTCTAACTGTTGCTCCAGCCTTTTCTTTCCATTTTTTCCCTCTCTCTAGCAACCTTCCCAAACCTTGTGGTCTCTCCAGTCTTATTTGTTATTACCTATCTGTGGCAGTGAAGAAGGGAAGATGAAGGAAGAAATGAGAAAGACATCAATAAAACCCCTCTTCAGAAGCTGCCACAACAACTGTACTTCCTGAAAGTGCCACCACTCTAGGGCTGCTAGCTGGCAGTGGGAAGGAAAAAAAATGGAAGGGAAGAAAGTTGACAAGGTCAAGGGGTTGAATAACTCCTTATGGAAGTTCTCCTAATGGGAACTCTATAATGGGAAGGAGAGTTCGCTCTAGAGGCCCCACCCATCAGCACCAGTCCCCCTTCTCTCCAAGCAGAAAAAGAGAAACAAATAGCTTCCACTGTTCTCTTCATTAAATCCAATTTCAGCCCCTCCCATCCTCTCTACCATTCCCAAGACTCTCTTCACAGTATGGTCTCCATCTCCTATTATTACTAACCTCACTATCTATTTACTGACCTGAAAGACCCAGGGACCCATTTGTACGTCGAAGTCCACTCCCCTCTCCCCCATGTTCACTCAAGGTCCACTAGAAGGCCACCACACACACACTGTCACCCTGTCTACATGTCTGCAAGTCTGGTCTACAGAGGTGAGGCCAAGAGACTAGTTATGTAGACTATGGAATAATGTGTCCCTAGCATTCCAAATAATACTTCTGAAAATAGTTTCCCATCAAAACTGTTTTGCCATAAATGGTGGAGATATCTATCTATCTATCTATCTATCTATCTATCTATCTATCTATCTATCTATCTATCTATCTAATAAATTAGTACTTGGCTTCAGGTACATCATAGGTGAACAAGCCAAGATGCTCCTGTTTTTATGGGAAGACGTATCCTGATAGCCTGACTCACAGCCTACTTGAACAGGATGGTGAGGTCAGAAACAACCTGGATATGATTCAGAAAAAGTTTCTGGTATTATTTAACTGATTCGTTTTAAGTCATATATGATCTCTCTCCCCAAATTAATCCTATTATTATAAGAAAATTGGGAAGCAGAAAATAACCAAGGTGACTACAAAGCTGCTAGTTTACCAAAACAAGAACAAAACTGAGTGAGACCTCAAAGACGATTTGGCAAATGCACAGTGCACAAACAGTATCATTAGCCATGTGCATGGCTAGGAAGCAACAGAAAACAGAAAAACCCGAGATGGCAGGTTCTGCAGAAGAGAAATGGTAAGCCAGATTTATTTCTTGGATAATATGTTAAAAATTAAATTCTGAAGCTGTATGGAAATGAAGAACACTAGAAATAAATATGACTAAAATGTAAATCATTCACAACAGGATGGAAGAACCAAAGAAGCAAATACTAGGATTCTAACAAAAAAAGAAAATAACTGCCTAAATCAGACAGTTAAATTTCATCATTCAGAGAACACAACAAATACACAAATATTCTCTCAAGGCAAGATAAAATATACAGAGAAAACGTGAAAAATTATCATAACATCTCAAAACAGATAAGCACACATACCCCCCTCTACCTGGGAAAGCTACAAAGCACTCGAGAAGAGCCAAAAACCCTTTCAGCATTCTAGTTAAGCTTTTCTTATGGAGGGAACACCTATCCTTGTGGAGTGGGGGGCACAAAGCTGAGGAGGAACAGGAAGGCCTAGGGCAGTGTTATGAACCAGCTTTCACCCACCTGGTCCCAACTGAATCATCCTCAGGAATGAAAATCAGCCAGGGCAAGGTAGTACTACTTTTTAAAAAAAATATATACTTTATTGATTATGCTATTACAGTGGTCTCAATTTTTCCTGCCCAGTATCCCCATTCCCTCCAGAAATGACCCACTTAGTTCATGTCCATGGGACACGCATACAAGTTGTTTGGCTTCTCCATTTCCTATACTGTTCTTAACATGCCCCTGTCTATTTTGTACCTACCAATTTGTGCTTCTTAATCCCTGCACTTTTTCTCCCATTCTTCTATCTCCCAGCTGATAACCCTCCACATGATCTCCATATCTATGATTCAGTCCTGTTCTGGTTATTTACTCAGTTTGTTTTTTTAGATTCAGTTGTTGATAGCTGTGAATTTGTTGTCATTCTAATGTTCATAGTTTTGATCTTCTTTTTCTTAAATAAGTCCCTTTAACATTTCATATAATAATGGCTTGGTGATGATGAACTCCTTTACTTTTACCTTGTCTGGGAAGTGCTTTATCTGCCTTTCCATTCTAAATGAGAGCTTTGCTAGATAGAGTAGTGTTGGTTGTAGGTCCTTGCTTTTCATCACTTTGAATATTTCTTGTCAGTCTCTTCTAGCCTGCAAAGTTTCTTTTGAGAAATCAGTTGGCACTCTTATGGGAACTCCTTTGTAGGTAACTATCTGCTTTTAAGATTCTCTTTATCCTTAACCCTTGGGATATTAATTAAGGTGTGTCTTGGTGTGGTCCTTTGTGTCCAAATTTTTGGGACTCTCTGTGCTTGCTGGACCTGTATGTCTATTTCTTTCACCAAATTATGGACATTTTCATTATTTTTTTCAAATAAGTCTTCAATTTCTAGCGTTTCCTCTTCTCCTTCTGGCATCCCTATGATTTGGATGTTGGTACATTTGGAGATGTCCCAGAGCCTCCTTATATCATCCTTTGGCGGGGAGGGGGGCACGGGGGGTGGGCACCGTGTCCTGTGCAGAGTCCCCCTGGGTCGCCAAGGATGGAGGAAAATAAAATAAGTTGTTCCAGATACTTCTCAGTCTGCCAGGAAAAAGGGGTAGCGATTCTCTCTAGTGATGCCCCGAGCCCTTCTCTTAAAGTGGCTTTTATTGAGAACCATATGCACAGGGGTATACAGCATGCATGCAAAACTCATCAATCAATGTCAAAAGGCTATGTTGACAGAGAATAGAGATCACACATAACAACTGAAGGAACACAGAGATTTGCCTCAGGTCAGGGTCTAGTAGACAGGGTGGTGAGCCCATTCATCCCTGATATCTGATCACATTCTATGCTCAACCCCAGACATCAGTACTCATTAGCTCAAGGGCATTCTTAGCAAAGTAAGTTTCATAGGATTTAATACATTCCTTTTCCAGGCCTAATTGTCCTTGGGAATGCCTAATCCAGGACTATACTTGCCTTTAGTATTGTTTCAAGCCTGAGCCAGGCAGGTGGAGCAGAGCAGCCAAGGGATAAGGAGACTTCTTTCAGGTAGAATGAGGACTCTGGCCATGACAAAGCCAAGGGGTGAGGGTCTTTTGCCTCTTCTCCATGTCCCTCAAGTCCTTCCCTGATGGCCCCTATGCAACTGTGCCTGTCTTAGGTTGCCCCTGCTATCGAGGGCGTCTTACCTGTCATTGACTAACCAGCCATCCTCCAGGGCCAAGCAGGGTGATGTGAGGGAGGCAGGGGCGCAAGTTTTACCTCTTCAGTGGTCTATTTTCCCAAGGCCGCCTTGCTCAGCTCCAGCCCTGGGGCCCTCCCACCTGTCAGTGAAGCTACAGTCTCTAAAGCCAGGTGGGACAATTCCCAACAATTCTTGTTGTCTTTTTAAAATTCTTTTCTCTTCTTGCTGTTCTGGTTGAATGCTTATTTCTTCTTTATGTTCCAAATTGTTGATTTGAATTTCGGTGTCATTCCCTCCATTGTTGGTTCCCTGTAAATTTTTATTTCACTAGATATAACCTTCATTTCTTTCTGGGTCTCTTTTATGCTGTTGCCATACTCAGTGAATTCTTATTGCTCATCCTGATAAGCAGTGTTTTGAACTCTGCATCTGATAGGTTGGTTATCTCTGTTTCATTTAGTTTTTTCTGGAGTTTTGTTTTTTCATTTGGGCCACATTTCTTTGTCTCCTGAATTTGGCAGCCTCTGTTCTGTGTATTAGGTAGAAGTGCTTTGACTCCCTGTCTCAGTGGCATAGCCTGTTGTAGAAAAGGCACCTGTAAATTGTGTTGGGCGGAGCCTTAGGTAATCACCAGGGTGGGGCAACCAGCTTCACTGCTTTGTGGCTCTATGTGCCTGGAGGGCTCCGAGAGGGGACAGTGTTGCTGCCTGGCTTCTGGAGGTTTTCCTGGCACTTGCTCTGTTTCCAGT